TGTTCCTACAGCCGACTGGCAGCCACCCAGCCATACCAACAGCATCGTGAGGTTTTCATTGATGAAGCGGTTCGGATCGCTGGCGAGCTTCGCGTGTGGCAGCTCAGCTTGGGAGGTGGTGGCTGGCATGAAGCCAGCTTGGTGCGTTTTTAGGGATCCCTACCGTAGGGATTGGTGGCATCAACTCTCAAAACACTTGGCGCTGAGATCCCGAAAAAGATTGTTTTCCACATTCACCTGATGTTTAATGGTTTTCAATGAATTTTCGGAACGTTTGCAGTGTTTCCATGGTTGGGAAGCAAGGCCACCTAGTACCAAGGAAACACTAATGAAAAGAAAGTTTTGATTGATTGTTGGGATGAATCAATGTTTTTTGATTATTTGTAGTTTGGGGTTCGTTGTTCATTGCACTAGGAAACAACGAAGTTGTACCACCACGCCCATCAATGCAGTGCTTAAAAATTTGGGTTTGGATGAGTCCGGTTTCATGGCACCATTGCTTTTGAGGCTGAGGGAACCAACCGAGAAAGAACTGGTGGAGTTGCAACATTTCTTTGCGCGCAACAGGAAACAGGATTGATTGTTCTCACCGGTTAATCTGTGCAAAACACAAGCAGGAGGTCGGACAGCTGAACGTCCGTCCATGGCAGTGATGGAAACCAAAAGACATTGATTTAAATACGTGTTTTTTTTTAATAACCATATTTCAACGTAGAGTTCCTTCTTCAGCGTTGCAACAAAGTTCCATGGTGGGCTGGGAGTTGGCCCACCTCATGTCCAATCCAGTCGCGTTGCTCTCAATTTTCGCCACGGAGAGGTGCCTTCTTCCATTTGCATCATTTGCAGGAGGACAACGCCCGAGTGAGTTGTGACTATTGCCTCCTTCTATTTGATGTTGCGTCGTCACATGTCGTCACCAAAGCGACAGTTTTGAATTCTTGCAGGCTGCATTTTGTGTTTTTCTCACAGCAGACGGCATGACCTCCCGGACAGTTCAATCAGACCAGTAAGATAGGCGCTGAGATGCACGATTCACCAGAGGAAGCAAGGAGCGAGTGACTCCGGCTATGGCCTGGACCTTGGCTGGGATCATGGTCAGACCGATATCATGAGGCTCGCATATAGACATGTCACTCTTAAGCAGAAGATACACTTCCAAAACTCAAGAACAACAGGACATGGATTATCCCCCTGCGGATCAACATGGAACCCCAAAACCACCAGGTTGTAGAGGAACATGGTCTTCCATCGGTCAATTCTCAGGTTCCATGATAGTTTGCACGGGGGCACATCAAATTACATCAGTTTTTGGATGGTGCAGTATGGACATAACATTTCTGTTTGCTGGAAGATGGTGTCACAATGTTCCAACGCGCATTGTTGCATGGGAAATGGTCCACCTGTACTCTTAGCAGCTCCAGGATGAGCCGCTAGTGAAATCATGAATGGAAGTGGGCCTTGGCAAGCAAGTAGTCTTCCAATTGGCCCATTTGTTGTGTTTATGTGTTGTACATGTTAGTTCAGTTCGATGAGCCCCTCGCTGTATCCATTCGCTTTTCGGAGTGACCCGCCAAGCGATCCATCGCTGGAGGCCGTACGGGATCTTCCCACGTCGGAAGCTCAGGGCGAAGCAAGATCCCTTGACCTGTTTTCAGCCCTTCCTGAGTGTCCTTC